ATTTACCTCACTCATTTATCTCGCTCATTTACCTCGGTTATTTACTTCGGTCATTTACCTCGGTTATTTACCTCACTCATTTATCTCGCTCTTTTATCTCAGTTATTCACCTCACTCATCTATCTCGCTCCTTTACCTCGGTTATTTACCTCACTCATTTATCTCGCTCTTTTACCTCAGTTATTTACCTCACTCATTTATCTCGCTCCTTTACCTCGGTTATTTACCTCAGTTATTTACCCCACTTATTTATCCAGCTCTTTTATCTAAGTTATTCACCTCACTCATTTATCTCGCTCCTTTACCTCGGTTTTTTCCTCGGTTATTTACCTCAGTTATTTACCTAACTCATTTATCTCGCTTCTTAACCTCGGTTATTTACCTCAATTATTTACCTTACTCATTTATCTTGCTCGTTTACCTCGGTTAGTTAACTCACTTATTTGTCTCGCTCCTTCACCTCGGTTATTTACCTGACTCATTTATCTCGCTTCATAACCTCGGTTATTTACCTTGGTTAGTTACCTTACTTAATTATCTCGCTCGTTTACCTCGGTTAGTTAACTCACTTATTTATCTCGCTCCTTTACCTCGGTTATTTACCTCACTCATTTATCTCTTTCATTTACCTCGGTTATTTACCTCACTTATTTATCTCGCTCGTTTACCTCGGTTAGTTAACTCAATTATTTATCTCGCCCCTTTACCTCGGTTATTTACCTCACTCCTTTATCTCGCTCCTTTACCTCGGTTATTTAGGTCAGTTATTTACCTCACTCATTTATCTCGCTCCTTTACCTCGGTTATTAAGGTCAGTTATTTACCTCACTCATTTATCTCGCTCCTTTACCTCGGTTATTTACCTCACTCATTTATCTCGCTCCTTTACCTCGGTTATTTACCTTGCTCATTTATCTCGCTTTTTTACCTCAGTTATTCGCTACACTCATTTATCCCGCTCCTTTACCTCGGTTATTTACCTCATTTATTCACCTCACTAATTTATCTCGCTCCTTTACCTCGGTTATTTACCTCGGTTTTTTACCTCACTCATTTATCTCGCTTCTTTACCTCGGTTATTTACCTCGGTTATTTACCTCGGTTATTCACCTCACTCATTTATCTCGGTTATTTACCTCGGTTATTTACCTCAGTTATTTACCTCAGTTATTTACCTCACTCATTTATCCCGCTTCTTTACCTCGGTTATTTACCTCAAATTATTTACTTCACTCATTCATCTCGCTCCTTTACCTCGGTTATTTACCTCAATTATTTTCCTCACTCATCGATCTCGCTCCTTTACCTCGGTTATTTAGGTCAGTTATTTACCTCACTCAATTATCTCGTTCCTTTACTTCGGTTATTTACCTCACTCATTTATCTCGCTCCTTTACCTCGGTTATTTACCTATTTCATTTATCTCGCTCGTTTACCTCGGTTATTTACCTCACTCATTTATCTCGCTCGTTTACCTCGGTTATTTACCCCACTCATTTATCTCGCTTGTTTACCTCGGATAGTTACCTCACTTATTTTTCTCGCTCCTTTACCTCGATTATTTACCTCACTCATTTATCTCGCTCGTTTACCTGGGTTATTTACCTCGCCTGATTACCTCACACATTTATCTTGCTCCTTTACTTGAGTTTTGCGTGAATATTCGTTTTCCTGGTCTGGCTTCCTTGTATGTCTCGCCTCTCGGGGAGAAGCTCTCCCACTTTGAAGGAGACATCCATGATTAGTGATTAGTCTTCCCTTTTGACATGCCTAATAAGGGGAAGTCGGCTCTGTGGCTAAGTCGACGCGAACGCTTCGTAATGCCGAGGTGCCGGGTTCGATCCCAGCTGCAGACCATGCACCTTGCGTTGGTTTCGACAGTGGTGTCCGACCGACAGTCCAGAAAGCAATGGCAAACTACTGGACGTAAATTTGCCCAAAGAAACCACACAACAGCAAGGGACTGCTGGGGTTGGTTCTGTAACGTCATGTAAGGAATACGCAACTAACCTCAGCCACCCCTCTCCACACCAAAATTGGGCCCCTGTTTGCCCTTAGGAACTTCGCACATTCAATACTTAAAAGATATATATATATATAAAACAAACTTCATGGGAGAACAGAATACTTGCTCACCTCACAGTGGTACAACATCAGTGTTTTATACGGCTATACTGAGTTTCTGGGAATTGTTCCTGTCGGATTCACATCACATCCGAATAGTGCCTCTTTATGTCACCTTGTGTAACTCTTTCAGCCGGAAATCTCGCCAATAATTTGAAGAAAAAAAATCGAATACTTCTAGCCCGATATTTGCGGGCACAGATCAGAACAAGGCCACGATAATCTTTCATCAATCAGTTGGCTTTACTTCTGACGATTCTTGCCTTTCTATTACAGTTAATTATTATGTTTGATACTTGTACAACAGCTAATGCGGGGAAAACAACCTAACTAAAGGAGTTAATACAAGGAAGATAACAGAGCAAACAGGCTTGTTTGCAACTTAAGAAAGAACGATAATTGCTGTTTCTCAAATGTTGAATGTTTTATCACACGGGTAATTGCCCCTAATGTTGCTATTATATAATTTGCCCCTAGCAAGCAGTTTTAGTAGTACGGGCCCATTAGGGATACTTTATCTGTATCTTTATTTCTACTTCTAAATAATATATTACCATTTACCTAGCAACAACGACAACAAAGCTGTTATCGCCCTAGCAATAAGTATGTGTTTGAGTCAGTGCATAGGCGCTGCTACATAACAGCTTAGTTCCCGCCCCTTTCACCGCCCACCCCCAATACAATTTCAGACAAACGACCATGCCTCCCCCGCCCTTTTTTTAATGTAAAGAATAAATATAAGCAGAATCAGCGGAATCATTAAACGATTTATAATTTTCCTATTAGGTATGTATTTAAACATGTAATATTATTTATTTGTATTGTTATATTTATTTGCCGTTTAACACAGTAAAATTATTATTACTATTATTACTGCACAAATAAACAAGGTTTAGGCCCCTTTAGCTTAAATATCCGCCATAACGATTTATTTTTTATTCTACCCCCCCCCCCCCCCCCCCCCCCCCGACTTTATTAATTGACAGGAAGTATGGGCGGAAGTAATTCCTGGTATTTGGAACAGGAATGTTGGGAAGAGGAAGAGGTACAAGAAAGTAAAGGGACACTCTCCACCTCCGGCCATGGCCTGAGTTAATGATGCTGCCCTTGTGTATCAAAGACCAGTCGGCAGACGATACACACAGCTGAACTGGCAAGATAGGCAGCAGCGGAAATATTACTAGAGTAACGACTCTCACAGACTAAACAAACGAGAAAACTGCAACAAGAACAGCTAAAAGTTAAGGGATGTGGCTGGTGGGAACGCTGGCTAAGAGAGAGAGAAAACACATTCTGTTTAAACCAACATGACCTAAATGTTTCAAGTAAATGATTTTTTTTGGGTGTTGTTAACTATTAGGTCTTTGCCCTAACTTTCGTTGGAACTTCATTAAAACCATATGACTTTTCATGGCGAAGTGGTGAAACGGTTTTCCCCGCGCTATGAAGGTGAAGGTCGTTCCACGGCACGCTGTTCAGTTCACGGGTGCGATTTGTAATGGGATCCTCGCTGGAGCTACAACGTTTATGCTTTGTGCGACGTTTTCCCCAGGAGACTGGCCATTCTGTGAAGAGAGACCTCGATCCAATGACATAAGTTTCGATGCAATGAAGTCGATCCTCTAACTTAAGACTTTCCACCAGGAGACGATAACTTTTTTTTTCTTTCGGTCCGCGGGACAAATTTACAACTAGCAACGATGAGGCGGGCCATATAGTAATAGTCCAGTATAAACACACACAGTGTTACAACGGTCGTAGTATTATATTTTATTATCAAAGTTCGCCGACAGACATTATCTCCTGGTGTTTGAGTTTGTGCGCAACAGGTGTTTTACTATGAGGATAACAAAATTGGCGAGATCCATTTATGGTTATTACAGTTTGGGTTATCGCTTTTTAGACGTTGATAAATCAGTTCATCTTCTCGATATTACAAGAGTACAGTAAATGACACGCCCACAGATCACGTTTTTTGTGATCCATTTATGAACTTAGCTACAGTTATGTAAATCAGATTGTAATACTCATCATCATGTAGCAGGTCCTTTGCAGAACGTCGCTCTCATCACGAAACCCGGTCTCTCGCCAGTTCTCCCGCCTCATGTACTTTCATACTCAAGGAGTCACTTATATACTGTGCCCATCTTCGTTTCGGTCGGCCCCTGCCCCTCCTTGCTGGTACCATGCCTTCTGTTGTTATTTTTTTAGAATCCTCCGTGGCGCTTGATATGACCAAAATATTTCAGCTTCCGAGACAGGAAGCTGTTTATTAGCCAATCTTCTTTGATGTTCAGATCTTTTAAGATGTCAGTATTTCTCCTCTTTTTTGTCCAAGATATTCTGAGAATCTTTCTATAGCATTTCAGCTCAAAAGCCCTTATTCTTTTTCTTAAGGACTGGGAGATGGTCCACAACTCACATCCGTATATAGATTAGGTAATAATAAAAAATTAACACCATATCGCTCGGGCGCGAAAATGTGTGACCGTTCTCCGGCTTGTCTTATGTTCTAGGGGTGTTAGGTGGTGTTTGTTCTAAAACTTGTAAGCACATCAACCAGCGACCCCCCCTTCCCCCCCCCCCCCCGCCCCCACTAATTGTTTGTTCTGGTTTCAGTCTGAGACATTGTTTAATAAATATCTATGAGATACACTAGTTGTTTTTTTGTTCTGTTCTCAGTCTGTGACATTGTTAACTGTATCTGTATTAGATACGTTAGCTAGCTCTCGGTTCTGTCGTGAGTTTGTGACAGTGTTAACTGAATCTGTATGAGATACGTTAGCTATCGGTTCTGTAGTGAGTTTGTGACATTGTTAACTGAACTTTGTTAACTGAATCTGTATGAGATAAAGATGCCTACGTTTTCTTTTCAGACGATGTCGATGATGTGCCCTTAGGATACGGAGATGAAGATGAAAACAATGACCTCTTAGCCGTTTTTAAAAGGTAATACTATTTCTTTGAAAATTTTCCTTCTACTACTTCTTCTTCACTTCCTTTGTTTACAGCTTAAGCTGTCAGTAGAGATATACAGCTCTGCTTCTTGTTCTTAGCTGTCACCGACCAGATACTTTAACGGCTTTAATATGTCAGTGTAATTAACGTTTGGCAGACTATACAGATCTCATGGCTGGTTCCGAAACATAGCACCAAAAGCTGACTACAAAATTAGAGACAGTCTGTGGTAAATATGGCAAGGACGTTCATGATGAGAAAAACAAGATTCTTTTAAACAGTCACAATAATCAAGTACCTACCAACATTCAGACCAAAAAAAAAGGGGGGAGGGGAGGGGGGGGTGTGGGGGGAACTAGAAGAAGTTGAAACCTTTAAAATTCTTGGCTTCCACATATTCAACGATGGCTGCTGTACGAAAGAGATCAATACAAGATATGGCAAAAGCCGCGATGTCTCAGCTGAATACGACGTGCAAGAGCAAAATCACCATCGCAGTTAAGGTCAATATTTACAAATCACCGGTGTTGTCTATTTTCTCATACGGGTATGAGAGTTAGTCTCTCACTGTGGAAATGGAAAGGGGGATTCAGGCTTTCGAATATAAATGTTACAGACGCATTGTACGAATTAGTTATTTAGAACACAAAACTAATGAATATGTCAGAGACAAAATGTACAATGCGTGACATCAGGAGCCTCTTTTGGGAGTGGTGAAACGTAGCAAGCTAGCTTGGTTTGGGCACAGGTGAATCATGATTCGATTGCAAAGACTGTACTTCAAGGAACATGGGCAGGTAGTCAAAAAGAGGAGGGAAAAGAGGAACCCAAAATGACAACTTCAAGAAATGGACAGGACTAAGTTATCAGACACTTATTCATCAAGCGGAAGACAGAGAAAGATGTCGGGTTTTATGTACTAGTGCTTCCACCAATATGTCTCCACGACCCTAATGGGTCAAGGGTTATCTTATATTATGTAATATGTCACTAGCACCATTCAATACATTTAAATATCTGGGAACAATCATTTCATCAGATGGAAAATGTGTGACAGAGATTAAAAGCAGAATAGGTCAAGCGAAAGCTGCATTTTAGAAAATGAAAAATATCCTATGCAATAAATAAATCGCTCTCATTTAACGTCAGAAAGAGGGGGCTAAAATGTTACATAGAACCTGTTCTGCTGTATGACAGTGAATCTTGGAATGTCAATCAACAAATTAGGAAGAATTTAGAAGCAACATATATGTTGTTCCTGAGACGAATGTTACGAATACCTTAGACGGCCAAAGTAACTAACATCGATTGCTTGAAAGAGACTAATGAAAGTAGATCTCTATAGAAAACAATAAGAAAGAGACAAACACTGTTGTTTGGCCACATAATGAGAAGAGAGACATTGGAGAACATCGTGGAAAGATCAGTGGAAAAAGTGGTAGAGGCAGACCAAAAGAGATGATGCTGGATGGGCTGAGACGATGTCATGGAGGGATATCATCAAAAGAGCTGTTCCAGTCAACCAGGTATCGTGATCTGTGGAGACGCATGAGTGCCAGTTGGCAGGGCACATGATGACCATTCATCTAGCAGACCCCAAGGTGTGGAAACGGGACTTTTTGTCTTTCTTTTCTGTCACACACGTAAACATAGTTTTAAAAAGGACGCTTTTTGATAGGTTTGGCACGTCTGGCATACATTTTGTCATAGAATGATCGACATGATCTGAGAATCGAGAACTGGCACATAAACAGCATCCTCGCATGAACTCTGAAGTATTTTACACATGTTAAACATCACGTGACCTGCAGGGAACGGTGATAGGGGGTATAGTTTCTGGGAAGCGAGGTAGAGGCAGACCTCCTCTAACGTGGACACAAGGGACTGAAGATGCACTAACTATGAAAGCACGCAGGGCTGGATAACTGGCTACAGACCGAGAGACTTTGAGGCGGGCTGTGACCAGAGCGACGTTCTGCACAGGACCTGCTGATATGATGATGATGATGATGCTGATGAGGAGCAGGAGCCCTGACACTCAATGGGTCATGTTATTGACATCCGGATGACCGCTTTTACCTCCACGGACGTTACCTGTAAACATTTAATGTTAGGTCTAGCTGGATGTCAACTTTAATGTTGAGAACAATACGCCTAGAGGAGCATTTGAACGCTGGATCTTCATACCGGCCAGCGAGGCCTTTAGCGGCTCCGCTAGAGCAGCTTGCTCGTCAAACAAACATACCTGTTTGTACGTTCATTGTTGTCTTTTTTTCTGCTTTAATAACTGTCTGCAATCGTGTTGGGACTGACAACAAACGAATTAAATGGTATGATAGAATCACTTGATCTTTGAGAAAGAACTAATCGAGTTCTATTGCACTAGAGGTGAAGACATGACTCTAGTGTTGGATAGGACACACACTGAGAAAACTTGGGAACAATACAGTTAGAAAGTCTTTGCACTGGAACACACAGGGGCATAGAAATGGAGTTAAAACTATGTATGAGACCTGGTTTGAGCTGCATTCAATAGTGATGTTTAGACTTGGATTGAGCTGGGGTTTTTTTTTTTTTTTTTAAACGTATCCAGAAACCAAGAGTTGTAAACCCTTTGGCTCGGTACTATGGATATCGCAACCCTTCGGCATTGATTCCATTATAGGTACCGTTAATCTGGGAGAAATGTGGCTTTTCTGCCTACCCCCGGGAGTGAACCCGGACCACAAGGAGTTCGTCACCCGGCCGCCGCGAAAGTCAGGTTTAACCAACTACGCTAGAGAGCCGGGCGATTGAGCTGGTTAAGGACCTATGCCCCACTGATGATAGCAGGCAGAATAAGATTATCTATTCTCTCTTCCTCTCCCCGACCCACCTTTCCACCCCAATGGGACACTAAACCCTGTCAGGAAAATTAAAGTCAAATGGGGATAGGAAAAGGGATGGGTGCAATAATCTCTTGATACATTATATGTGTAAAACAAGCGAAATTGCATTGATGAACGGCTAAAACTGAACATATCACTCAACAGCCCACACTCAAGTATGAAAGCATATCGTGTGTACTGTTACCCCTGTTGTGTAGTTCATCGACCACAAGTTGGCTATAATGCCACCAGGCACAAATGGCGAAAGACAATAACAGACATCAGAAATCTACCAGTAGCATCGCAACAACAAGTAAACACGAAGCTATAGATAAGGACAACGAAGTTACATTCTCCCAGCCATCATTTCCGGACAAATAACATTCTGGCTGGAGGCATATTTTTGCTAGCACGGAGCCGCTGAGATTTGGCGGGAATTGACCGTTTTATGAAAGCTGTCAGGATTTGTTATTTACAGTCAGACATTTGTTTATGACGAAAATCTATTTTTGTTTATTAGTGAGGATAAAGTGTGTCGATGAAAAATGCACTCTTAAAGAGAAATTCAGTGTTTAAAGGTTATTGCTGAATACTGAATTAAGAATCGACACCACAGCACTTGGGACACTTCCATAAACGCTCTGTCTCCATCTTCAGCAGCAATCGAATAGTTCCAGTTAAAATGTCTAATTGAATATCCGTCCCCAATTTCGCTTGAGTGTTGAATGTCGGCAAGATCTAATTGTCACTCCTCCATTTACAAGCATGTCGTAAAAGACGAAAAATTAAAGGTTTGCTGAAATCAGATGTCTTAGACTGAAAGGCGCATACATGGCTGACCAGATATAAAAAAAACGTCCCAACTGCACTTATTAGGACGAAGTCAGAAGAATAAGACGCAGATGCCAAGGAGAAATTTGAGAAATGAATACAAGCTTGGCTGGGAATACAAATAAATATAAAAACATGATTTTGTTCTTGCTCTAGTGGACTTATCCTAATTCAAACATGGATAAAAGGTAGTTAAAGTTATAGTTTCATCATTAGTATGTGTCATGCAGATACGGCTTCGCGTAGGTCATAGCTAGCCACTTGCCCCAATAACCACAATGTCAGTTATCTTCTCCCGCCCAAGAGAAACTTTCAGGTATTTACCTCTTTCCATGAACTTCCTCCTTTTCCATCAAATTCGCAAGTTGTTACAAAGCTCTTCAGTTTATACCAAGCTCAACTACTTTTACTGTCTACGTCTGAATTCTCCTATAATTTAACCGTTTTTACACTTTGAAATTTTTTTAAGGACTGTTTAATTCGTTTTCTTATCATTCAACATTCTTCTTTGCATTTCCCAACCTTTAGATTCTTGTCCTGTCAGCTTATCATCCATGTTAGTGCTAGACACATCATTTCAGTCTGATAGATCGCTTTTCCGCGCAGAATGAGTCACTGCCACAGAGAAATGTCTAAGCGCCATATTTCCACCAGCCGGAGCATTCCTTCCATGGTGTTGAGACGACATACATCCAGCACAGCCATTCATTAAGGGTTTTTAATCAAACGGTGTAGTTCATTTACACCAAGATGTTATTTCAGACTAGAGGTGTCAAAGTGTCAGTTAAGTGGCACTTTTCTGACTTTCCAGACGATAGTGTTATTTTGCGCTATGAGGAGGCATGAGACTCACAGCTCATGGCGATGGCGAGTGTGACTAGCAAGACCCGCCCGCGTCAAGAAAAGTCTTCCACAATGATATTCCAGAGAAATTTGACTAAAAAGCTCAACAAAATGGGAAAGAGGAAAACGTGCACAAAACAACACAACGTAACGTTTCGGCCAGGCAGCCTTTTTCAAACACAAGTGAAATACACAAACGAGGAATGGAGAGTCCTTTTCACCTCGTTTGTGTATTTCACTTGTGTTTGAAAAAGGCTGCCTGGCCGAAACGTTACGTGTGTTGTTTTGTGCACGTTTTCCTCTTTCCAGACGATATTGTTGTTTTGCTTTTTAGTCAAATTTCTCTGGAATTCATTGCCCATTGGCTGTGACTGCAAGACCCCATGTGTCGAGTTTCTTCCACAATGATAGCATAGGATTTCAGGACCATTGTTGTCAACATTTGTGTTT